CGGCGTGATACCTAATTAGGCCACGCCCCCCAAAAAATGGACAGTATTCCTGTAGTGGGGTGAATTAGGATCAACTATGTGCAGTTTGGCTGCAATGTGCGGAATTTAGAGCCAAACATGTGTCTGCTGTGTGATGTCTACGGAAAGCTACCGCTGACAAATCCACGTGATCATTACGCGTCCATTTGACACGTAAACGATGCGCAAACAAATAACTTTTTTAAAAATTAAAAGAAACATCTGGCTTTTTAAAATCAAAATATAAGCAGAAATGTAGCTTCTCCGTCTCTTTGTTAAAGTGGTTTAGCCCTGGACCTTGGAATCACCCCTCTCTTTTGCTGAAGTCGTTTAGCCCTGGACCTGAGAGCCAATGAGAAGAGAGGCGACCTAAACCGTCCAGGAAGTGAAGTTACCCAAACGGACATAAACATATGAATTTACGCCTCAAATAAGGCGCAAGCAACGTGTAAAGTACACGTTGTTGGTGCGTACTTCACACATATTTTACATGTAGTTAACGCGTCAAAAATGTGTTAAATTTTGATGCGTCAAAAACGCGTGATTGACGCTTGTTTGCGCGTCATTTACGCATCAAATGGACGCGTAATGATCACATGGATTTGTCAGTTAGCTTTCCAAAGACGTCTGATTTCACCGCACCGCCATAACCATTCTCTGTGTTCTGACAGTTTGCTGCTGATTAGGTCAAGAGAGTCAGGGATGGAGCTTTCCTTTTTTCAGGGGGCGGGGCTTTGGTGATGTCATATGACCACATAGTATGGTCGGACAAACAACATGGATGACTCGTACCAAGTTTGGTGTATTTTAGCCTTTTCTGAAATTGTAACAAACAGCCGGAGAGCATTTCTAAATCCCCTGCCTCAGTGACGGGGGGTAATAAGAGCAGCAGTGGGTTAGATCAGCGCATGCAGTGATTCAATTTGATGGTCAGTTTGTGTTGAGAGAATATTTTTAATTAGGAAGCTTCAGCTAAAGCTGACCTCTTATTATCACTGAAAAGGTGAAGGCTGATGACGTTTTTGCCTGAGTTTTACCAAAATAACTCATGACACACGAGACCATTTTTAATCAAACTCAGAAAGTCTATAACTGATTAATTTTTGAAATCACATCAGTTTAAGGCGGCTGCCACAGCCAAATGACCTTCAGAACAGTAAAGTGACTGTAAATCAGTCAGTTTAACGGATGTTGAGCTTAAGTTTGATGCAGAAGTGAGACTTGTTCATAACATATACTCTGAGCTTTTAACACTAACAAATCTTTATCCAAAACTTTTAACTAAAACATTGATGTCAACCCTGTTTGGTAGTAAAATATCTCATGAACTAATTGATCAATGATAGCCAAAATAAAAAGGCTACAATTCAGTCAGTTTTACAGATAATGACATAAAATTTGAATGTGCTGGCATCTGTGTGAAATCCTGAGATACAGTGGTTTGCAAAAGTATTCATACCCCTTGAACTTTTCCATATTTTGTCACATTACAACCA